GATAAAGATAAAGCAATTTACATATTTCTTTAAGTCAAATTTAAATTCAAATGAAATTATGAAAATAAATTGAAAATGAATTAAATTTTAATTTCAATTTTAATTTTATATCTATCTTTTGTTGTATCATATTTTTAATAACCAGACCTCTGAAGATAGAAATGGCTATGAAACTCTTAAAGAAATATGTAAATTGCTTTATCTTTATCTTCAAAATAATAACTTAATATTTGTTTCTATTTCTTAAAGCCAACCTCAGCCATACATATACAAAACGACTTTTCAAGTTTCCCAAATAAATAAAGCCTTTATGTGATTTTAAATTGACTTCCTACCATTTCGCTTTGTTGTTTTTATGCTATATTCCAGCTCAATTCATCAAGCTGTTTAGAAGTGTTTATTACTCTTTAGTTAGTAGCGTTTTGGCTAAGACGCGTTTAAGAGTCTCAATTGATTAGTTTTTAGATATTCATTTAAAAGTGAGCGGCTGTCAGGTTGTTTTTAAAGCGCTAAGTTATATGCAAACAACGCACACAAAATTTTAATACACAATTACATCTCTGTGCTCACACACACACACGCATACGTAAATAGCTGTAGCACACTAGCTGAGAATTGCGTTTAAAATTCATAATAATAAGCTGTTTGCGTTTATAATAAATACACAGTTTTTAAGAGTATGAATACATCTCCACATACATACACACCTTTGTACAAGTTGAGCTGGCAAAAGCAACAGCAAAATCCCCAGCAAATCGTTCCTAGCTTACGTCATACACACGTCTATGCTGTGCTCCGCTGCCATGTATTTGGTTGGATGGATGTGGAGTAATATGCAATAGACGAATAGCGTAAAGTGGAAGTTAGAGATGGAGCAGTAGCGCGGAAGAATTTCTAAGTCGACGAAGCAGCGTGAAAAAGGCGCGCACGAAATACAAAGTAAACAGATAATGAAACGAGAATTAGTGCCCGTTGGTAGGAGAGTAGTGGTGCCCGCGGGAAGGAAGCTAACAAATTGTGGGGGTCGGAGTTGTGTTGCCTTAGGCATATTTTAATACGCTTTATAAGCGTGTGTGTGTGTGTTTATATGTTGTGTGATTTAGTGCCGTTGGTGTGTACTTTTTGACTGCGTGTCACAATCTTGTCAAAATCGTAAATGCGCACAACCACAACACGGTAAACTTGATACTCACATACATACATATATAATATGTGTACATTTGAATGTGGAAAAAAGTTGTAGATAAGAGTGTTGAGATCGGAGGCAAAATATTGATTGCTTGGAAGATGTTGAGTATTTAGTTTAGAATTTAATTTTTGCCAGTGCTTTTGCTATGTTCCTCATTTATGAAATACTTCTTTGTTATATTATTATTTATTTTAATTTTCTTATTGTGTATAACAGCTGCATTTAATTTAATTTGATTAAGTATTTTGTAATACAAAAATATAATTTTTTTCGTTTTAATTTTGTGTTACTTTAATTTTTTTTCTCACAGTTAATTTCCGTAAATAAATATTTAATTGAATTTACTTTCAATTTACATTGAATTTGAAAATT